GTGCTCTAGGAGGAGATTCAGGTGATAAGGTGGGGGGGTTACCTTGGTTGGTGATTGGCTAATGGTTACACAAGCCAAAAAAATCGTTATGACATCATAAAGTGGCCTAAATCTGATTTTCAGACAGGTTTTTATATAAATGGATCAGGACAAAAAAGTGAGCGAATCTTATTTCCTTAAACTTTCAGAATCTCTTTACACAGAGGGGACACATGTTTATGTATACAAGACATGAAAAAGTGGATTTTCCATAATAGGTGACCTTTAAGTGTTGTTAGTTTTGTAGAAGAAATGCAGATGTGAACATGTTTAGTACCTCAAAAGAACTTGGTGTGAATGGTTCTGTAACTTAACCATCTCTGACTGCAGACCCTACAAAACCAGAACACAGTTTATGTGGTGAACAACACAAACAGCAGAAACCTTTTAATAAAACAAGGAAATTCCAGACATTCATAACTTTGCCGAAATAAATCAAGTTTTGTTTTAAATTCTCGCATTAGGAAGCTGATAACTTTGCTTAACTTGTACATGCTTAATACTAGTTTCCTCTTTTCATGATTTAACATAATGTCTTTCCTCTACTCAATGGTATTAGAGGTCAAATAAGGTTACATTTGTTCCCTCTCATAGAGAACCATATTCAAATGCGGCTGGTTTGTCTTTACTTTAGGACAAATACGTACCTCAATCATGCTGTGATTCTCCATGTGACAGTTCTTCATTTTATCCATGAGAATGTCTTTCTACACAGGAACATTTGAAGGTAAAGTTAAGATACAAAATAAAACGTTGACTGATATTTTATGGTGAAAATACCGAGATAGACCAACCTTTGCAATTTCTCTGTCTCTCAGTGTCAACATAACCAGGGTTTCCTCAAGTTCGGCCTGTGAACATTTAGATGTTTAAACCTCAATTAAAACACAATACACATAGACAAACACTAAAGTGTCTTACTGATCTGTTCCTACCCTTAGCTCAGTGTTGGCCTTCCTGAGTTTGTTGAGACTATCTTCAGAACACGTCCTTTCAAAGGTCAGTTTCTCATTCTGTGAGGACAAAAGGAAAAAACAATCACCCTTTTTTAGATCCATTATCCACTGGATTAGAAACAGCAATGAGCATTCATATCAAGAACAAATCAACAGTAGAGTAGTAGTTAAGGTTAAGCTAGTAAACAGTTTATGGTTCCTGGGAATCAGCCTCACAAACAACCAGACATAGTTTTCTCACATCTCACTACCTTGGTTAAGAAAGCTCAGAAACAACTTCATTATTAGAGGAAACTCATGACGGCAAAGTCCCCCTGCCAAGTCAACTTGTACAGAGCAGCAGTAGAAAGCATCCTTACTGAGAAGATTACAAACTGGCGAGTATAGTACAAGGCCCAGGAGAGGAGTGCTCTGCAGCAGGTAACTAAAACCTCACAGATGATCATTTGTTAAAAGAAAATGTGGAGAATAACGCTCCACAATTGAAATGTTGCTGTGCAATCCTTTGTTGGCGAATAACAATAAAACAACTTTAAGGTGCCTACATTTTGGACGTACATTAAGATCTACGTTACCTTGTCTTCAAGCCTCCTGATGTGAACCTTCAGGCATTCAATCTCATTGCTCTGAAAATGATAATAGATTTACATTTAAATATTTGTCATGAAAAATGTAACTGAGAAGGTCACTGGGAGATGGTTCATTGTGTGTTGTACCAGTTTGGTGCAGCTGCTCTGGGTGCGGCTGGCCCTCTCCTGAGCCTCTTTAAAGGCCCGGCGGGTCTCCTCCAGTTCTTCTGTCTGGGATCTGGCTCTCACTGCTGACCGCTGAGCACTGCACACCACAAACAGAAACACATCACAGCTTATTGTTTTATTCACCTCTACTCACAACCAAAACACCCAAATATACAAGAAGAGTATGAACCGAGATTTTATACTGGTTTTGAACCAGTATTTAGTTATTGGAAAAGTCAAGTGTTGTAGTTTCTTTATAAGAAAGTTTCTTTACATCGTTATTGTTTTGGTCTGGTTCTACAACATAATATAAAATATAACAGGCCAGGGTATAAAAATACCATTTCATGTTTACGTTTTTTAAACTATGTGCACGACAGAAGAGATGGCCAGGCAGAGACACTGATCAAATAGTTTTTTCGTCAATTTGCTGCAGTATAAATTGTTCACTTTATTTGTAGTAGATAATGTTTGATTTATTTGACTATTTATCTGCCAGTAGCTTAGAGAAATGTCACTCAAATGTGTCAGGTTTCTTCAAAATGTTGCCTTAAGTCTGAAATAAATGTATTATTATGTATATGGGATCTTAAATGTAAGACGTACATTTTTGTTCTCTGTTTTGTTACAGATGATAGTTAGTGTTACGGTTTGTGAGGGAAGTATACACCATAAGGATTACAAGAAATAATTAAACTGAAGGAGACAATGATGTGCTTTGGTCAACATACACAGTTTAATCCTACAAACTGTTACTGGAGTTATATGAATGAAGAAAGTTCTTTAATTTAAAGAACATGAAAGTATTAATCCTTCACCTGGTCAGCTTTGCTCGCAGCTCAGTGACCTCCAGAGAGAGCTGCAGGTTGACGTCTTCACACTGAGCCACCGTCCTCAGCAGGCTGCTGTTCTGCTCACTCAGCTTTCTGTGAGCGTGCTTCAGTTCAGTCACCGTGCCCAACAGGTCTTTTCCATCACTGCAGCAACAAACAGTGTGTGGTGAAGAACGACAACACGTTGATTACAGGAGGTAACATGCAGAGATTAAAGAAGGGAGATAACAAACCATAGACACTGGTGGCTTTCTGGAGAGGCAGCAGAGAAATCCAGTCCTGAAAGAAAATCTGGTTTATTAAAAACTTTGTTTAATGTGATTGGGATGTTTCTCAAAAGTGTGAACAAAACATTAACTGCCTACCATTTACAGGGACTTTAGAGGAGTCAGGCCAAGATACATGAGTGCTGTCCAAATCAGAACTGAAACACAGGAGGAGTTAGGATTAGTTCCCACATAATGGAAAATGCTGATTAATAAAATATTGAATTAACAAAACACTTTTTATACGATAATTATCACTGAGATATATTGCTAGACAATGTGAGGGGAGGGAAAATGATTTCTGAGAAATAAGTAACACAGTGAACCCGAAATATAGACTTTAAAAATCCATCCATGTTGCACATTGTTATACAGCTGAAAAAAAGACTTTTGTATTCACTGAAATGTTTTGCTCTTTATGAAATGCATTGGTGATTGCATTTAACAACATGATGTAGATTATTAAGATTGTTATAAATATGACAGTACAGATGCTTTTACGTCTTCTAGATTTTCAGGTATTTAATGAAAATGGAACACATTGAGAGGACAACGTTTACCAATGTCAAGGTTGTCAATTATTTTAAAGGTAGTTTCTAAATCCAGATTAAGTTATGAACCAGTTGATGAGTATCTCACCTGTCCTGGCTGCACTGTGCGATCCACTCCCTCATGATGGAGTGGAAAGTCTCTCTGCTCACATGAGGGTCCTGACAGTCCGGGTCGAGCAGCCGCCGCAGGGCCGCCAGTCGGTCCTGCTCCGGACTCTGAGTGGTCATGGTCTGCAGGTACTGCAGCATGGTGGAGGCCAACACCTCTCCTGATGATGAGAGGGACGCAGGAGCCATGATTCACAGTCATATGCTTATTTCAATGTATTTTTGTTCAAATCAACACACTACTGTTTACCTGTGTTGGAGGTGTTACAGGCATTATACATGATGTCAAGGAGTTCATGTTCAGAGAATCCTCCTGTGTCATTATTGTCCTCGAGCACACCCCTTGTTCCACTCCCAGCTGATTTAAGATTGGTTAGCACATATTTATGCACAGAAGTATACATGTAAATACAAATAATGTTCTGTAAATATTTGTTTGATATAAGAACAAAGTAACTGCAACACTTACCATCATTGCCGTCAGACATTGTGCTTTTTTCTCCTGAATCCCTGGAGATGTTTCTACATGACCTGATTTTATAATGAAAATCAAATGTTTTACATATCTCTACTTTCATTGTTAGGTCAAAAAGCAATAAACCCAGAGTAGAAAGAAACATTCAAATTGAAACAGACAATGACTACTCTCCAGATCTGACTGCTTTGCATGTTTACATGGACGCAGTGGGTGTCATCCTACAATGACATTGACAAATGTGACGTTTATTAGCTCCCAAAAAGCCATTATGGTGGCAATACCGTGTTGAATAACATGTTTTCAAGAAGAGCACAACACAAATATCCAATGCTAACAATGTATATTGTATAGTTAATAAAAAATAGATGACATGGTTAAATCATGTCTGTATTTACATTTTAGCTCACTGTTTTTGTTTATTATATAACAAGTAGCCATGAAAAAAGTATTTAAATAGAGAAACAAATATCAAATGTTACCTCTTAGTCCGGGACAGCTCTTCTGAAAAGAAAATAAGATGGTAAAATTCTAAATCAGGAGGTGAAATGTCATTATGTTCTCCTTTGACTCACTGTGATGTTTGCACAAGAAGTCTCCAAGATGCCCATATGCTTGTTTCCACTGCTTCACATCAAAACCAGCTGACATCCCCCCCAGCACCCTCTCTCCCAATCCTCCACCCCCACCTCAGTCACCTCATCCCTGTAGTCTGTGACAATAAAGCCGTATAATAGATTTATATTAAGCTTAACCAGTTTAACATAAAAAAAATGCAGCCTGCAAAACATTTCTACCAGATTTTGAAAATGAGAGTACATTTTGTACATTTTGTACATTTTCTGCAGCTGAAACTTTGAGCTACATAGTTTTATATGAAATAAATTCATAGAGAATCTGTTCGGTTTTCAACAAACTCACTAAAGTAATCCTGGAGATGCTGTATATATTTACATGAACATATTTGATCTCTTAGTAATGTTCTTAACCGTGTTTTCAGGAAAAGACAACATGTATTCACCTCCAGGAGGAACACTCTCTGTCCCCATCAACTTGCCCGGACACCATTTTCGTTGCACCGTGTGTTTCCTGTCGGAAGTATGAAGTAGCCATCAACAGACAACGGGCTGTTGGAGATTTTTGTATATATTTTGTAATCATTCTGACTCAAAGTGGATATCACTGTGGCCAAGATGTCTCGGGGATCCATCGAAATCCCTTTACGGGACACCGATGAGGTAAAACTCGGCTCAACTTGATGTATTTTGTTTGTTGACTAAGTGAACCTCGCTGCGCTTCTAGCCTTTAATGCTAACTCTGGCTAGCTTTAGCTGCAGCGGGAATATAAATTAATCATAGTGATTAAAATATCTGGCAGTTACCCCGAATCTTAGATGCCAGTGATTTTTTTTTTTTGTGCTGCAGGTACAAAAGTAACGAAACATTACTTCAGTAAACTATATTACTGTCAGCAGAAATATGAGCTTAGGCTCTTATGCAAGTTGTGAGCTCAGTTGTTTTTATGTTTTCTGCCATTGTCCTTCTCAATTAAGCAATTCACATTTAATCTAAAAGCTCAGTTTTAATTATTTAAAAATAAATAAAAACGTTCAATGAGTTTCCATATCTGATCAAAAGCTATTTGGTATTTTAACATGCAACAACATCAGTCAGTATCCTAACTCCATTGCATCCATACTCTGTTATTAAAGTTATCTATATCAAATGAAACATGTTGGATGTTTATTAATAATATAAGTTGTTGCAATCATTAAAGTATAAATACTGTTTTGAATGCCAGACTGAGGTGTGTGCTGCTGTTGAGTTGCATTAGAACCGATGGTGCAAGGATAATACTGATGATATGTTAGCCTATCCCAGAGGTCTGCAACCTTTTTGACCAAAAGAGCCATTTTGCTCCTTTTTCCCAAAAATGTTTTTGTCTGGAGCCGCAAAACATATTTCATAGTTTTTTATTGTTATATCAGACAAAAACTAGTTTTTTTTGCATTTATTAGGCTATTTATTACATGATATACAACTGTTAACCTCTGATAAGAAACAAAGAACTCTTATAAGGAGAATTAAAAATAATACACAGGCCTACTTTAAAATAAATTAAACACAGCACTTGGGGAGTCCTCTGCACATTTGAAGGAAAAAAACATATTATTAAAATGGGCTCACTTTGAAATAAATAAAACATATAGCTGCACCCTAAAAAGAGTTAGAGGTAGGGTAGGTAAGAATGGCGAAACCAGCTCGAGTGCGCTAGAATTTGAAAGTACACAACCGGAAAAAATATGCCTCTTCCTTCAGACTTTCTTAAGTCCCTCCTCCAACACACACGAACGCTCACATGACCAATGAGGGCACGAGATAAGTTTGTGCACAGATGGAAGGCTGACAGGCAGGTAGGCCATCCAGTTACTGGATGGCCGGGCCGGCTTAGATGATTGGTCGTGCTTTTTACAGCGCCACGGCTTCCAGAGATTCATTTTTGTATGTGTTTATTGTCAAAGCATTTAATATATTCATTGCTATCGGGACGTTAAGAGCATTCCATGGAATATAACAAAAAGCGTTTTCTGAAACAAATGACATACCCCATTGAATTATGACTGAAGATCGTCAGCTGTCTTCCTCTCCCTTGTTGTTCCTCGATACGTAAAGGCTGCACCACCGTTGACAACTTCTCTCTACATATCAAACATACCGGTAAACCAGCATCGTTTGCTGTGAAAGCATATAACTCTGTCCACACAGAATTAAATCCTGTGTTCCTCCGGTACTTTTCTTTGATTTATCCATAGCTCGAGCCGGGGGTCAGGTTATTCGCCTCCAAGAAAAGGCACTCGCGCGGGACCGTGGCAGGATGTGACGCATCTTTTAGTTGACCTAATTAAAACCGTTTTGTTTTTTATTTATGTGTCACAGTATCACCTCAAAATACAAGATACGAAACATTTTCAACCATGCAACAAAATATAAATAGTCCTCCAAATACTTTTATTTTATTTCCTTCTTATTTTTGTCTAAGCTCAAGGGAGCCAGAGCAGAGGGCTTAAAGGGCCGCGGGTTGCCGACCCCTGGCCTATCCAGTGAATTAAATACCTTTTATAAAATATGGTGTTAATGAAACGGTCATGTCATAATACACTAAATGTACTAATGGGCATGCATATTGAGGTTGAATTTTGTCAGACATTGATGCTCAGTGATTCAATAAATTGTGTCTTGCAGGTCATCGAGCTTGACTTTGACCAGCTGCCCGAAGGAGACGAGGTCATCAGTATCCTGAAGCAGGAGCACACACAGCTGCACATCTGGATCGCTCTGGCGGTGAGTCGATGAAGATACCAAAGACTATATATTGATAATATATAGGGATGGGTACCGAGCCCCGGTATTAAACGGGCCCCGGGGCTGAATTATTAAAGACCATGGTACTGTTAAGCTCCGATGTTATTGGTCTTTTTTATCTGTACTGGAGACATGTAAAAAAAAAAAATGTCACATGTATTATTTCTACACAAACATTATTTTTCAGGTTTTGTGTCGCCAACTCCGTTTCTAATATGCAAAAAGGCTGCAAAATGTGTCAATGATTATATTTAGTATTTTCGATCTTTCCAATCCAAACGAGAGATCTTTCTCCCCCGCCTGCTTGCGAGAGGGCGGGGCAGTTTACACACACTCAGCTGCTACATGCAGCAACACACACGGAGGAGATGGAGAGAACGCGCTCCGAGGTGTGGTTAAACTTTAACCATCTCGATGTGGACAATCCTCGTTACCAAAAGTGCAATAAGAGTTTAGCATGTAAGGGCGGTAACACGAGCAATTTGTTTAAACATCTTTCAAAAGTGCACCACATTCAAACGGAGAAATGCACCGTTTTCTAGTAGCTCTGTAGCCCCATCCACGAGTAACTTTTCCACGTCGGGTATTATGTATGCTAGCAGCAACACACAGAGTTAAAGGGAGGGAATGCTCATGACACGCATTTTTAAATAATTATCATCCGATAAAACAGACCAGTCTCTGCCAGTCTTTTTTTTTAAAAATGTATCCGATGACGTTATCAGTGATTTTAAGCTGATTAATTACCGAAATAACATCAACCCTGTGGGCGGCGCCATTTTGACGAGTCACATGACTTATTTTACCGAAAGTGACGTGAACTATGCGTTTGGTGTCGAGGACAAATTGACGGATGTGCTTTGTTCATGTTGTTTACTCTAGTTACTCTCTCAATTCTATAGAAATATGCCTCATTGTATCGCGAAACATTGCCACAATTCGGATAGGAACAATCCACGGAATGCTCGGTTCCATCTACTGCCAACGGGTAAGCGTAGGAAGTACGTTCGGAGGCAGTGGCTAGCGAAATGTGCTCGGCCCGAACCGAAAGATCCACAGGCGCATGTATGCAGCGAACATTTCAAGTTTCCGGACGACTACTCTCTGAGAGTATGATGAAACATAAAATGGGATTTATTAATCAACCATTACTTAATGGGGATGCAGTGCACTGCCAATACCAGCCAGCGTAAGCACATTACTCAGCAGACTTTACTTATTGTTTACTACGTAAGGAAGCAGGAATTGCAGGACCCAGAGCGCACGGAGCGGACAGCAGATAACGGAATTGCAGTTTTATTTCTTATAGATTATCAGAACATTTCAAAGGGGACACAGTCACATTGGATATTAACCTATGGATTAACTACATCATCGTTTTTATCGTTGTAATGCCATTGAAGACCAGACAAAGACCAAGGTAAGCCATGTTAGCCTAGCGCATGTTAGTACCTAGCGCCACTTGTTTTGATGTACGTTTTTGTTGATAACGTCGCGAGTTTGTATCTTTCAGTGTTGAGGTGAGCACCGTTAGATTCTGTATCTTTACGATCATGTGTTGGATGTGCAGCTAGGATAAGTAATAAGGGAGCTAGGAGTGATTTTCGGTGCAGTAATAGGTTAGCATTTTTCGCTCTGGGCTAATTCAGAGGCTCACTGTTAGCATTGTGTGGTTTTTTTTGAAGAAAAAAATGAAAAAAGATCAGTTAAATTTAGGGATGCTCCGATTGCCAATTTCGGGGCCGATCGCCGGAATCAGTATCGGCCAATACCGGTCGCCGATCCGATCGAGTGGGCGGGGCCTAAATGGAAGATTGAAACATCACTTTAAATCTTCCATTTAAAGTGATGTTTAAACTCAGTTAATGGGGCTCATTCACTGGAGCTTCCACAAACAACAATCAACTTAATTATTACATTCAAATGATGTACATTATTCAAGTTTACATTCACTTTGGATAATAACACGGGAGAAATTAGCGGAAGCGCTCTCTTTTCCTCTCTCCCTCTCTCTCTCCCCCCTCTCTCCCTCTCCTGACAGCCAGTCAGTATCTCATGCAGCTCACTGATCCAATAATGAGTGACCCGACAATGAAGAATAAATATATTTATAATAACTAGTTTAGCTTGTTCCAGAGGTAGATAAAATAGCTAAGTGTGTTAGGTCTAACTCTTACGGTACGTCCACACAGCAGCTTTTCAAAATTCTTGAAAATCTTGGAGCTGGGCGTGTCTGAAAGCTTGGGGATTTTTTGCAAGCAACGCGACCAACAACCAATCACATGAATCTCCCGCCCCCGACATACAAAGCAAAAAAACCTGGGGATTTTATGCGAGCAATATATATATAAACTCCCCAAACAGGCGAAAACCAGTTTCACCCACTGTCTCTGCCACCTCCCTCCATGCCTGGTTCCTCCGGTTTGTATCCCGTTAATAGTTCTGGTCGTAAAGAACCGGGTGATTTGCTACCGTAATTTCTCGTTTGGAATATGAGGAAATGAACTGCGGTCTGGTTCTCCCTGTGTGTGTGTTTCGCTGCGCTTACCTGTCCGGCGGGCGGAGCTGCAGGATTTCTGCTTCACACACGTTGCATACCGCTATTTTACTGTCTTTTTCAGACACCTTAAAATAATGCCAGACCGGTGAAGCCATTTTGGCGAGCTTGTTTTGCCGCACACAGAGAAAAGTGTCATGTATTTTACGTCATGCGATCGGCTCTCGCGATCGGCATGTTTAGAGAGCACCGATCGATCGGTAGAGAGTGAGTATCGGCCGATATTGATCGGTGACCGATCGATCGGAGCATCCCTAGTTAAATTAGTTTTTTTCCCGTTATATGGATATAAAATATTCATAGTTTATTAAATATTAAGGTTCCTTAGACATTGTTTCCTGCAAATGACGCGATTTCGGCCCCGGGTCCGTGGGGCCTAAGAGGATAACAGAGTATGTTTATTATTATTTTTACAGTTGTATTTGGATGGAATGAATACCTATAGTGATAATTCAAAGTAAGTCCGCCTGGACTTTATTTTTCTAAACTTCTTCCTCGGCTGACGAATCAAAACTCAAATACTCCGCCATGTTTTCGTCGTGTGTTTACAAAGTGAACGCATAGATGACGTCACGACCTAGTTTTTCGGATCATGTGACTACTGAAAATTGCCGAAATGGCAGCTGCCTGACGGAATATACAGGTTTTGATAAAAAAGAGCTATAAAATCATTATTTACCGGGGAATAACACTGATTTCTTCAAGGTATGGTTTAAACATAATGTTTCACTAAATACTGAAGTTTTGAAAAACTATCTAATGACAGGAGCCTTCCTTTAAGTATTATTATTAGGGCTGTCAAGTTAACACGTTAATGCAAAAAAAAATTAACGCCTGTGGTGACACCATGTGGGACCATAATTCACCTTGCTTATTGTGTTGCCACACGGACCCTTTAGTGGGAACACCTGTAGCTTTAGCTGCCATTCCTGCTAGCTCATCAGGCAGAGCAGTGCATGTGTTAACCTCTCTGATATTAATGGATAATAAAGATTGGAACTCCATTCTTAATATACCGCCTCCGACTCTCTTTTCACGGCACTACACTGGTGACCCTGACTTTTCCGAGAAAGTTTCCGGACTAAATTAACGAACATGGTTGAGCGCGATGTTTTCATAAAGCTGCCGGAATTCTGGGAGCACGCCGCGGAGGTAGGGCTGTAGCGATACACTAATCTCACGATACGATACACGATATTCAGCTCACAATACGATATATATCACGATATTCAGCCAACGATACGATTCGATACGATTCGATATAATTCGATACACTTATATCATTTTCTGAAAGATTTTAAAGGGACAGTGTGATTTTGGTGACATCTTGAGTGTTCCATTGACTTGGATTGAATTAATTCAACTGAAAACTGAAAGCATCAATTATACAATATATGGCTCTGACAAAGAGTCTCTACAGCTTGCAAATGCTGGACAAAATGAATCAAAAGATGTGGTGAGAAAATTTGTTTCATTTATTGAAACAGTGCAAACTGTAGCTTACAAGCCTTTGAAACGTAAGTTCATAAAGTGCAGTATCACAATGGAGAATTAAAAGGTGCAGCAGGTGGCGGAACCCGGGGGATTTGAATGGGACTTGTTAGAAATTAAAATCAATGTTTTGATGGCATAAAGTACCTTAAACATACCATCAGTTTAAATGCTGTTTTATACTGAAAAACTAGAAGTTCTTGTGCACAACCAGTTGTTAAGCTTTTATTCTGAAAATCCTTCATCTCCGGTTAGCATTTAGCATGTGGCTAATATACCATTTACTATAGAGGTGAATTTAGTAGCGATATGACACGGAGTGTTGCACATCGAAACCTACTGATTTCAACACTACAACTATAGACAACGAGATATTATTATTGCTGAATATTAAATGAAGGTACAGTTTATTGGAATACGTTTGTTTACAGACGTGGGTAGCATGAGACAACATCCGGAACTACCGGAAATGATACCAGCCGTGAGGTATTTTTGGAGTATTGATTACAGCGTTTAAAATGTATTAAATGAAAAGTCATGAAAGAGATAAGGAGGAGAAAAGGCGTGTTTAGTTATATATTTAATGTACAATGTCTGAATCCTCTGTAATGCGCAACAACGTACATTGGAGACGTGGAGGGCCGGCCCACAGGGAGGAGCCAGCAGAGGATATTTAACAGCTGGAAAGGTGGAGCTCGCTCTCTTCCCTTCGCTCGAGAGCCAGAACACAGCTGTTTTTCTGACTGAACCATCTTCTGCTTGTAACATTACCGCGCTTTTTATTAATTAAAGTATACATTTGAACCTTCTCAGAGAGTCAATTAGTCTCCTTTTTAAAGCTTCTCTCCTGGACGCGAGAATAACGAACACAGTTATCAGACTTAATGTATCGATACCCGCGACTGAAATATCGATACTTTCTCGGAAAACT